GGGAGGTGAGGGCACTGTGTTGAAAGATTTAGCAGTCACAAACTCATGTGTGGAGGATCCCCCTCAGGTGCACGGGTTGCTGAGTGGTAGTTACACAGGCACCAACCCTTCCCCTTCTGGCCAGGGTGCAATTCAGGCTTTCTGGTTGGCTGGCCTTGGAAAGTTGCTTCCTAAGATCTCAGCTACCCTACCTCTGAAAAGGCCAATTTTTTTTTTGGTACCGGGGATTGAACTCGGGTCTTTATGCTTGCAAGGCAGGCCACCGAACTGCTGAGCTAAATCCCTGGCAAGGCCAATTTTTTGAGGCACGCATCCAGGGTCAAACATCTGCTAGACCTGTTCACTGTATTCCCTTGTTCAGTGAACTGGTCCTTGTTCCCTCATGACTTTCAGACTTACTACTGAGGAAGGTGACCAAGGTGTCCAGTCTCCTGGTCCCTTGCTTCTGTCCCTTCTGCCATTTACTCCTATCACCTAGCCCTTTTCATCACCCACAGCAGCTCTGCAAAATCTTAAGCCAACTAACCATCTCACTGAATTAGCTTTTCATTACTGAAAATAGTTGAGCCTACTTTATAAAGGCAAGGTTTATTTTGGTTTCTAGTTCTGGAGGAAGAGGTCTAAATGTCATGGCCCAGGTTCTGTAGAGGACCCCAGGCTGCAATGGGTCATGGGTGCAGGTGACATTTCTATGTGGTCTCCTCCTTTATGAAGCCACCAGGATTTAATCATGGGGGAGCTACCCTAATGACCTTATCTGGCTCCTCTAATATAATTAACACACGACTTTGGGGATTAAACTCCTATAGGAACTTGGGAGGGACAGACCCTAACATCCACCTTCTCACCTTTCCACTCACCCCACAGCCCACCCTTCCTCTTGACCTTCCCAAGACTCATCTTTCTGCCTTCCAGCCACCCTCTGCCTCTCACCTTTAACCTGTCTCCACTTCACGGCAAATTCTTATCAGAGCTGTCATCACTTCACTTCCTCCTCAGCCCTCTGAAGTCCACTGACACTGTGTCACTGAACCCGAGGCTCTTTCGGCCATCAGCCCTCCTATTCTTAGGGACCTCTCCTTTCAGGAAATGCCTTGGTGACTCTCTCTGGCTCTTTCTTGCTGCCACAGTCAGTCCCCTAGAAGTTCCTCAGCTTCTGAGTCCCCTCTTTGCTACACTCCTCTCTAGCTGGTCTCTTCTGCTCCATTGCTTCAAGGACCTTGTGAAGCCCAAGGATTCTCAAAGGTCATGTTGAACCCGGATCTCTCCCCCTGACCTGGGTGACATCTCTGCTGCAGTTCCAAGGGCCCCTGACTCACCATGTCCTAGCTGAACTTACCACCTCACCCTCACACACCTGCTCCACCTCCAGGCCACCTGTCTCAGGGAATGTTCCGTCATCTACGCAGGTGGCGATGTGATCAGTCTGGTATCATCTGTGACTCCTTTCCCACTCATCCAGTTCTGGGAATTTCCTGTCAGAAGGTTTCTGGACTCTTTCCCCGTGCCTCTATTCAGGCCGTTGTCACCTCTGGCTGCACTACTTCTTGCCCTTCCCACTTGTCCCCTTCCAGCCTGTTCTCTGCACCTGAAGTGAGGGCTGCACACAGCAGTATCCTGCACTGCTCTGGTCAGAGCAGAGCTCCTGGAAGGTAGGCTTCCTGTGTTCCTACGCACATCAGACACCTGCCCTGGAGTCCTGGGGGTTGGGCCCTTGGCAGGTGTTCTATAAACATCTGCTACATTCCACAGAACAGCAAAGCTGCCAACAGCCCCTCTGGACCTGCTCCAAGTTAATCTCTAAGAGTGTGCTCCTTATGGAAATACATGTTAATATATGCTAATTGTAGCTCACTTTCATCAAGTGTGCCAAAGAGTAAACAAATTAACTTCGAAGGAGAGAAAGGGGAAATGTGCTTGCTTCCACAGTTCTCCTTCCATGCAGTGTTAGGGACTGGATCAAGTGTCATTCCTAAATCAAAGTCAATAGAACATCACTTCTTCAACTCAATTTAACAATTTATTTCCAAGATATGTGATAATGGTGCACACCTATTATCCCAGAACTCTGGAGCCTGAAGCAAGTTTGAGCTTAGCCTAGTGAATGTGGCAGCTTAGCGGGATCCTGTGTCAAAATAAAAAGGGGATGCCGGGGATGATGGTGTATGCCTGTACTTCCAGCACTCAGGAGGCTGAGGCAGGAGGACTGACACATAGTTAAGTTCAAGGCCAGCCTGAACTCCACAGCAAGACCCCGTCTCAAAAAAACCAAACCAAGCAAAATAAAAAAGGGCCCAATCAAAATCCTAACAACCTCACAGAATTAGAAAAAACAATCCTAAAATTCTTTTGGAACCAGAGGAAACCTAGAATAACAAATTCTGAGCGACCAAAGCAAGGCAGGGGTGCCAGGCGTGGTGGTGCATGCCTGTAATCCCAGCACTCGGGAGGCTGAGGCAGGAGGATCGCTGTGCGTTCAAGACCAGCCTGGGCTACATAGTGAGTTCCAGTTTCAACAAAAAAAAGGCAAGGCAGGGGTAGTGCAATCCCTGACCTGAAGTTATATTGCAAAGCTACTGTGATAAAAACAGCATGGTGCTGGCAAAAGAACAGACTGAGGATCAATGGGACAGACTAACAGATGCAGAAACAACTCCAAATACACTCAGCCACCTTATCTTTGACAAAGGAGCCAGTCACCTTCACTGGAAGAAAGATGGCCTCTTTAATAGTGCTGGAAAAACTGGCTTTCCACAACCAAAGATTGAAACTAGACCTGTATCTTTCACCACACACTAATCTAAAATCAAAATGCATCAAAGATCTAAATATTAAAACAGAAACATTATATAGAACACTTGAGGACACAGGAGTAGGAAAAGACTTCATGAACAAAACCCAGACCGCACAAGAAATACAACAAAGAATCAACAACTGGGATCTCATCTTACTAAAATGCTTTTGCACAGCAAGAGAAACCAACAACAGAATGAAGAGACAACCCACAGAGTGGGAAAACAATTTTTACCTGTTATTCAGATAAAGGATTAAAAAAAAAAACCCTCTTAAATTTAAAGACCCAATGCAAAAATGGGCATTTGAAATAAAAACACTTCTCAGATAAAGAATTAGAAATAGCAAATAAATATATGAAAAAAGAAATCAATAATAAATGCTGGGGCCAGGGATTTAACTCAGTTGTTCCACTGTCTGCAAAGGTGTAAGGTCCTGAGTTCGATCTCTGGCACCTAAATAAATAAATAAGTGCTGGAGGGTTATGGGGAAAAGGAAACTTTCTTTCTCCACTGCTGGTGGGAGTGTAAGACTGGTGCACCCACTGTGGAAATCTGTGGAGATTTCTCAAAAAACTAAAACTAGAGGTTCCATTTGACCCAGCTATACCTCTTTTTGGTATCTTCCCAAAAGAATTAAAGCACCAGGGTTGGTGATTTAGCTCAGTGGCACCGTGTCTGCCTTGCAAGTGTAAGGTTCTGAGTTCAATCCCCAGTACCAAAAAAGAAAAGAATATATGCACATCTGTTTTTTTGGCAGCACAGTTTGTAATAGCTAAATCTTGGAAACAGCCCAGATACCAATCAAATGATGAGTGGACAAAGAAGACGTGGGGTTTTGTTTTGTTGTTTAAACACAATGGAGTACTACTCTGCCACAAAGAAGGATGAGCTTCAGACATTTATAGCTAAAGGGATGGACCTTGAGATCATACTCTTTAATACTTTTTTTTTTTTTGTACCAGGGATTGAACTCGAGACCTGGCGCTGCAAAGCAGGTGGCAGAACCACTGAGCTAAATCCTTGGCCCTTGAGATCATGCTCTTAAGTGAAATAAATTGGATGCATATGTTTAAATACCACACTGTTTCTCTGGTGCGAGACAGTGAATGTGGAAATAAGGACTGAGATATATAATGGATATTGGAAAATGGGGAGGAAGTGTTAAACTGGAAAGGGAAATGAGGAGGAGGGAGCAGAAAGGAAGGAACAAGAAAAGAAGTCAAAGTAGAAGGAAAAATCGAAAGAAAGCTTTTGTACATAGGGGGGAGGGGGCTCAAAGGAGGGAATGGGATAAAAATAAATTTTTTTAAAAAAAAGGGCTAGAAATGTAGCAGTACAAAGACCCTGAGTTCAGTCCCTAAATACTGAAGATGCTGAAAACAGGAACTAGACACAGTAACAGTACCTCCTGTGTGCCAAGCCCACATTTCTCAAGGTGGTGGTGGGGGAACAGTCTCCCAGGACACCTGTTTAAAATGTGTGTTCCAAGCCTGAATTGTAATGAATCAAATCTCAGGGGTATCACCCAGGAACTGGATTTTTAAGGGGGCTCCTTCAAAGCTACATGCATGTAACAAGTCATTTTTGCAGCCTCCTGAAAATGACCTACCTGTGGGCAGCTACCTGGACATTCTCCCTGCCATATTAGGAGTTTGTCAGGTTTGAAAAGCATCCCTGTCTGCTTGCAGTCCCTGGGGTTTGCTCCACTGTGTAATGGATATTTAATGAGCATCTACTCTGTCCCAAGTACTGGGTGGCACTCAGAATGCAGCAAAGAACAGGAAGCAAAGTCCTAGGTCTCAGGGAGCTGTAGGTGTGGCAAGGGGCAGATAGTAAATAAGTGAGAGGTGCTGTGGAAGAGAAGGAAAAAGAACAGTGGCAGCGGGTGGGCAGAGAGGTTTCTCCAAGGAGCTGACAGCTCAGCTGAGGCCAATAAAGAGGCAGCAGCAGGGCTTCTGAGGTAGGTGCCAGGGTGTAGATATGACACCATCAGGAGCGGGGTGAGGGTGGAAAGTACCAGACAGTAGGCTTTGCGGCTCACATTTAATTCCAAGTCAGGGAAGCCACTGGGGACTTCACACGGGCAGTCACAAGATCTGGTTTCCATTTGTAAAGTATTCCCCTGGCTGCTGCATGGGGAATGGGGGTAAGAGCAGAGGCAGTGTCAACTACCGGGCTACAGAAGCTGGTGGTGTGGACTGGGGGAACGGGGCAGACACCTGAATTGAAAGGTCCAGGCCTTAGTTAATAGAGGACTGCAGGGAGGGGTAGGAAAAACAGGAATCAAGGGTGATGAGCAGTTAACCGAGGTGGAAAGATAGAGGGGGAAATGCCGTGGCTCAAGTTCCTCTTTCTCTTACACTACGCTGGAGGTGCCATTAGACACCCAAGGCTGTCAAGCAGGTGATAGGATTCAGGCATGCAGGGCTGCGGGAGAGACAAAGTCTCAGACAAATGCATGAGGACAAGACTGAAGCCAGAAAGGGTCTCCAGGGCCTGCTGTGGACAGAGGGCAGTGTGCTGACCACCCCAACACTTAAGGGAGGGCAGGCAGGGACAGGAGGGGTTGTCAGGGTGTTAAGTGGGAAAGGCTATCCACCATGCCATCGAGGGCTGATTTGGCGAGGAAGAGCCCAGTGGGGGATGGCTTGGGGAGAGGCGGAAGCAAACAGGACCTTGGGATGGCCTGGGGCGGGAGGACAAGAAAAGGGCCCTTGTTTACTGTCGTAACAGCAGACTCCCTGGCTTGTCTGTTGGCCTATGGTGGAGGAGCTAGACCTTCAGGGGACCTGCAGGGTCTGCACCATACCACAGTGGAAACAGAGGTGCCTGGATGCTGGGGGCTGGTGCACAACATGGGGGCTGTGCAGGCCTGAGTCCTCCCTCGGCTTTCTCCAGGCTCTGCAATGCTAAGGGCCACATGAGGGAGCAGTGCAGGTCTAGGGGGAGAGGACATACAGTTTCCTGTGGAAAGCAGAAGTCTGAGGACAGGCGGCCAGGGCTGGGTCCCAGTGTGACATCTGTGGGACTGAGCAGCACAGCTGCCACTTCCCCAGGTGAGAAGATGCTGGCATTATGGCGAGGGGCTGGGTTAAGTTCCCCACTTTGGGAAATGCTTCTCTGTGCTTCGAGGCTGCTCACCCCAACCCTCCAACAGCCCAAACTCAGTATCCACAGCAGCTCTGTCCTGTGAAGCCACCAGACATGATGTCAGCTAGTCCTGAACCCCTGCTCCTCAGGGAACAAGTGGGTTCCTGCGAGCCTCTGACCACATTTCCAACAGGTGACCTGTGCATCACCGTGTCTTGTGTGTTTCTGTTTGAAGCTACCTTAGGCAACTGCTGATTCATTAACACTGGGCTCACAGCCAAGAGCACCGTAACACAGTTTTCTCCCCAAGACACACCACAGCCTTCCTGCTCTCAGAAACACTAGACAGCACCTCAGCACTGTGCCTGGGGGACACTAACAATCATCAAGACGAAGCAAAAAGCACAGAAAACCTGCCACTGCACACACCTTGAGGATACTGTGTAGGATGAGCTGATACAAGCCAGCCTTGCCTTATTCCACCTCAGGCGGGGACACCTGCACGGCCAGGAAACTCCAACTTCCACACAATGTGCCTGCAATGACTATGAAAGCAAGGTGAGTATGGACTGCGAGGTTCCAAATTAATTTTAATGTACAAGTTCACAAATATGGGACCCATGAATAGAGAAGCAACTACACACTTTACAATACACTGCACTATAGTATTATCAAACGCACAGGCACCCATGCTTGAGGCAGCTCACACGTTACTGCTGGTTTGAACCACATGCAGGAGTATCCCATCGGGCAACTAGTACCACTGGCGGTAAAAACGGATCTAATCATGTTTACTGGTGGCGTTTTTAGTAATAAAATTACTTAAAAAGCCACCTGAAGGGACAGTCATGCATGTACCACTGTCATGAACCTGTGAAAGGAGGGTTCTACAGCCCACAGCCCCAGCAGGTACCCTAGGTACCTCTCTGCCAAGCCTCTCCCCAGGACAGAGCATCTGTATGACAGACTCGAGTCGTTCTGGCTGGGTTCAAATCCAAGCTTTACCCCTTACTTGCTGGTGGATGAATCTTGTAGTCAAAAATATGAACAGCTTGGCCTGACACGGGGTGCTCAGTACATATGGCAGCAACGAGTGAATGGAGGCCTACCTTGTTGGTGAATCAGATTCCTTACACAGAAGTTTTCTTCCCTCCAGGCACTAAGTAGGTTGTTGACCTGCTTAGCTTCTGAGATCAGGTACGACAGCGCCTCAGGATGGTATGGTTGCAGACTAGTGAGGTTTTATGGCACAGGAGAGTGTGTTATATGCATTCCTGAGTTCTGTCCCAGACTAGTCTCCACCTACCAGCCATCACTAGGCCATTACTTCATGAGTCTCCCCTAATTATAGTTTTGTAAGGGGTGCTCTCAATCTTATATACACCATTATTAATGATGACATCTAACTGTCTTCTTTCTCCCAAATAATACCCTGGAAACTGAGCATCATTAAACTGTGGGAAGTAATGATGATCCCTAACAATGGCCAGAAACTGTGGCAGCACATTTTCTGCCTAACCTCAACAGCTACTCAGCCGGCCACACATCTGCTGAATGTGGCTCTCACTCAGCGTGGCCAGGTGACCTGGGGGAGGCAGGAAGGGACTTGCCCCATCCTCAATTATCAGAGCCAAGTCAGGACTCAAACGCAGGCCTCTGGTAACCTCAGTGACCTCTGGGTTAGGAGGCCGACAAGGTCCCGGCTGACACACATTTCAGGGTAGGGAAATGGAGACAAGGAAACCAAGAGTTCAGAGGAGAAGAACTAAAAACAAGTCACAGACAACCAGCCAATCTCTCACACAAGAGAAATACAGATTTCAAAATGTACAGCCAGAGCGTGTGTTAATTTATTAAGGCTGATGCTTCATTTTGGCTTTTTGGGGAAGAAAATTTTGGCATGACTTAAACGACCTAAGTGATAAAGATTATCAGACATATCACATGGCTCAGGGTAGGGCCAGAGAAATCTACGTTGTAGAAGTAAAAGAAAATGTCCTTATGATTTCCATCACTCAAAAAACTATTTCCTCAATGCCATTCCAGTCCATAAAAGGCACACAATGGACCCAGCAGTTGGAGACAATCCAAAACCAGAGCAAAGGCTATAATTCAAAACTGACTCTGTCAACCATGTTCACCCAAAGGCACTGAGGGCAAAGCTTCCCTGGGTTACCTCTTGAAGGCACCAGCACCAGAAGCTGCCCTGGGTCACCCGCTGTGCCCCTGGCTCCCTGCACAGTGTCCTGCACTCTGGAGGTGCTGGTTCTGTTCTGGCCAGGACACACATGTGGACTTGGAAACAGTCACAGTGCTGGCCACCTCTGCCCCCAGCACCCATGTGACCCAGGCAAAAAGCAGTCCCTACGGGTTCCATCCAACTGTGAAGTGTGGCCACTTTCAGTCCCAATTCTGGAATTGAATTTTTTTTTGTACCGGGGATCGAACTTGGGTCCTTGCACTTTAGAGGCAGGCGGTGGAACCACTGAGCTAAATCCCTGGCCCTCAGTCCCCATTCTGTTTGGACTCACTTTGGATTCCAAATGAAAATGCAGCTCCTGATGGACACCCAGCCCCTCCAGTTTGGCTAGCACCCCTCTGCGTCTCTACCTGGCTCAATCCAGCCTGGATTCTCTCCCTTGTTGTTTCTCTAACCACCCAGCTTCCCCAACAGTTCTTGCCGTATAGTGAGCTACCTTCCCGTGGCTTGGTATGGCCCAGTCCCTGTGTGGCAGGGTCTGTGCTCTCCAGGAGGAGTAGGTCCACATCACAGGACCTGCTGAATCTTGAGTCCTCTCTACAGCTTTGGTAATTAGCGTTTCACAAGTCTGAACAAAACCTAACGGTTTTCTGTTTTTTACTTAGAAAAATGTTCCCTTCCAAAAGCCAGCCCCAAGCGCATCGCTGTTTGAATGTGAGAACAGACACCAGCTGCTGGCGAGGCACTTTCCCCTTCCAGTAGGAATGGGGGGTGCCCCGCGAGGCAGTGTCCAGAACAGATCTCTCTGTCCCCCGAACCAGGCAGGGCAGCAAGCACTGGGACTCGCATGTACTCCCTAAGCATCACATCCGTGGGGGGCGAGCAGACAGCCTTCTTCCCTGCTGGCCTCACCAAGGTCTTCTGAGGCTCTGGACACAGAATGTGCCAGGCTCGTGACAGCTGCTGTGCAATCTCATCGCCTCATGATGAAGCTGGGATTGTCCTCCTCCTCCTCTTCCTCCTCCTCCGTCCCAGATGCCTCCTCGGAGCTACTGGCCTGCTGCTCCTGCGACTGACTGGGTCCTGTAACCACACAACATCGGATTATAGACATACAAATCTGCTGAGAGAAAGGGCACACTAAAAAAGGAGAGAGTCGAGGGAATACAGTGACTCTTTCAGACAGCACAGCCAGGGGCCAGAGGCGGTCCTCCTGCCCACCATTCCTCCTGGTTCTCTGGCTCTCGCCAAAAGGCCCCACAGCACACGAGATCCTGACACCCCACAGACCAGGCCTACTGCTTTTGTATGGCTCCCACCATCTACAATGCCCACCACTGCCACAGGGTGACTTCCTCACCTGGCCCTTGAACATTTACTATTGGGCTGTAATAGTCCTGCTGGAGTCTCAAGTCACTGTTGTGCAAAAGCCCCTCTAGAAAAAAAGCAGGGGCTGGGGAGAGTCTCAGAGACAGACTGTGTGCCTTGCACGTGTAAGGCCCTGGGCTCGGTCATCAACACCAGAACACAACACAACACAACAAACCCCTCTGTGGCTGAAGGTTCTCCTGGCTCTTCCCACACACAGGCTGGAGCCCTTTCCCTGACACACCGCAGGCTGAGGCAGGAGGATCAGGAGTTCAGGCCAGCCTGGACCACACACTGAGACCTATCTCATTAAAAAAAAAAGAGAGAGAGAGAGAAGGGCTGGGGATTTAGCTCAGTGGTTCCACCACCTGCCTCGTAAGCATGAGGACTTGAATTTGATCCCTGGCACAAAAACAAAACAAAACAAAACAAAAACAAAAAACCAAAAAAACCTAAACCAAAACACAAAAAAAACAAAAACAAAAACAAAAGAGAAAGATCAAAGCCTAGACACGTAGTGCAACTCTGAAGTCCTTGAACAAAATTAATCCACCTAATTCATTCTTTCAACATAGTAAGTACAGAGTAATCAATAATAAAGTGCTTGCTTCTTGCCAGCTACTATGCTTAGTGCTGGGACTACAAGAATTCAAAGATACTAAAATTAAAACAAGAAACCACAGCACATATATTCAAATGGCTACACTCCAAAAACCGGTACCCACTGTGAGGATGTAGAGAACTCAACTTGTACTCCTCCTCAGTGGGAGTGCAAAATTGTACAACCACTTTGGAAAACTCTGGTCATTTCTTAAAAAAGCTAAACAAGATCAATCTTATCATAAAAGCCAGCAGTCACACTCCTAGGCATTTACTCAACTGATCGGAAACAAGTGCACACAAAACCCAGCACCCAACTGTCTGGAGCTGCTTTATTCCCAGTTGTTCAGGTTGGGTTCCAACTTGCAATCTTCCTGCTTTTAGTCTCCAGAGAGCTTGGATTATGGGCACATGCCACCACCCTCAGCTAAGATACTTACGAATCTTTAAAAGTGTTCTATGAAACAAAGGAAACCAATTAAAAAGCCTGTATACCGCATAACTCCAATTCTATTTTGTTTTTCTTTGGTACCAGGGATCAAACTCCCGACCTTGTGCTTACGCGGCAGACAGTGGAACAACTGAGCTAAATCCCTGGTCCAAATGGGTCAAATTTATTATTATTATTTTTGGTACCGGGGATCAAACTTGGGACCTTGTGAGGCAGACGGCAGAACCACTGGGCTAAATCCCCGGCCCATAACTCCAATTCTGTAGCACAACTACAGAGATGGTGAACAGGAGTAGGGGCAGGGAAGAGGGTGAAGAGGTGAAGCCCAAGGGATTTTCAGGGTGTGGACCATTCCGTGGTACAGTATCAGAGTGGTGGATGCGTGGTGCTACATGCCTGACAGAATCCACAGAGCGCTACCAACACAAAGAAGTAAACCTTAGTTATGCAAAATTGTAAAAGCCCAAATTTAGGAGGCCACAGACCCCAGGATGGAGCAAAAGCTCGCACATAGATTTCACTGCACTACATCTGTCTGAACAATCACTGTGAAGGGGTCAGGGGAGGAAGGTGCTAGTCTGGGTGTGGACCGCAGCTAAAAAGCCTATAACCCTCAAGCCACCAACATGTATATTGGATGGACTGAACAGGGAAGCAAACGGATGGCGGACGGGCAGTGGGAGCAAAGCTACTCAGGCCGGATTAACCAAGGACAGAATGACAAATGGGCGAGGGGCGACATCGCTATCGGCTCACACTTAGCTTAGTACGATGGCCACACACCAGTACTTACAGATCCGTGTCTATACACTGCGTGGTGCACTTATGGTCATGTGCTGTATGACAACAGTGCTTTTAACAAAGACAGTCTGCGTGTAGCACGGAGGTGTAAGACCGTGTCGTCTCGTGCTGTCACAGCCATCTCAGTGTAAGCACACCCAGTGATCCTCGCACGGCCACAAAGCCGCGCTCCGTGGTGTGTTTCCCAGAAAATATCCCCACTTTTAAGTAACGAATGACTGGTAGCTTCTTGCTGTCAATGAAAGAGCCTGAAAGCACCGCCCCACCCCAGAAGTGAAGCGTACCCCTTGCCACAGGCTTGTTTCTAACACCACTCCTCCAACAAAGGGAGCCGGGACTTCTGGGACAAACGGCCGATCGCCCAGAGCAGGACATACATAAAACGTACCAATAAAATAAAATAAAAAAAAAACCCACCAGTCTAACACCAACTGAGGGAACCCTACAGAACCCAACCCAAATAAAGTCTGAAAACCTGTCTCAGACACCAGTGATTTGGACACACAATGATTAAATGTAATGTGATGTCCTACACCGGATTCTGGAAAAGGCACAGGGCATTAGATACAACTAAAATCAGAGTAAGATCTGGATTTTAGCTCCTAAGTTGTCCACACTGGTTCATTAACTGGTTCATTAACTTGTTAAACCAAGGACACTGGGTCTATGAATACTCTGTGCTATCTGCAATTTTTCTGTAATTATAAAGCTATCCTGAAATGAAAAGTTATAGCTGAGGACATAAGCATGTTAGGGATTTAGCAGATTTTATAACCCTAACCGTACAGGCTTGGGACGAGGCAGAGGGCAAGGCATCCTGCAGTGGGCGGGCACGAGGAAGGCAGGGAGAACGAAGTTCTCCAGACCCCTGGGAAGTAGGGGAGCAGGAAAAGGAGGAAGTCCAGTGGCCTGAGCATAGCAAAGAGGCTGAAGGGCAGAGGTGTGGGAACAGCAGGGCAGAGGACGTGTGGAAGGCAGTGCGCAAACCAAAGTGGTGAGGGCCGCGAAGGCTCGGGGCAGATGAGCAGGTTTCAAGCAGGGCTGCCTCACAGTAAGTACCGGTACCTGGGATCAAATCCTGGCCCACCAGCCATTCCCTCTGCAGCTCGGAGGCTGCCATCCACACTCGGTGTCTAAGACCTGTCATTTGTAAAATTTAGGTAATGCCACTGACACAGTGCTGCTGTGAGGATTAAGCTTACAGCTCCTGTGTGCAAAGCATTTAGAACTATAGGAGCACAATAAATGTTCAGCATTGGCTACTACTGACTACTGCTCTGTAAGCAGAATGAGTGACAAGCCTATTTTTATTGTATAAAAGAGCTTTGGAGCTAGGCCTGGTAGGGCAAACCTGTGATCGTAGCATTCTGGGAGGCTGAGGCAGAAGGTTTAAAAGTCTGAGCCCAGCCCAGGCAATTTAGTGACTTAGGAGCAAGGTCTCTGTATGCACACACATACACACACACACACACACACACACTTTGTGGCTCTGGGGATCAAACCCAGAGCCTTGCACATGCTAGGCGTAAGCCATATACCTAGCCCTCTATTTTTTACCTTAGAGTTTTTTTTGGGGGAGATTAAATCTTATTTCTTACTCTACTATATTTTTAAAGCCTTTCTAATTTCTCAGTTAGATCTTAATTCCTCCTCTAATATGTACTTTTCTTGTCCACTTAGAGGAAGAATAATTTCTAAAAGCCAGGATTGACAAAGACACAGAGAAGGTATACACTCCTGTGCATTGTGGTGGCCATGTAACCTGGTACTGGCCGGCATGGAGACTCACAGCTATAATCCCAGCTATTTGGCAGGGATAAACAGAAGGATCACAAGTTCAAGGCCAGCCTGGGCAATTTAGCAAGATCCTATCTCAAAATTTTAAAAGGATTCAACAAAACCTCCCTGAAGACAGTACTATTCCTTCAGAAAGTAATTGGAAACACATTTCAAAAGCCATGAGTTCTTTTTATGCTCTGTGATCTCTCATGACTGGAAATTTATCTTAATTCATGTCCTCAGAGAGACAGAAGAGAGACAGGCACATGCTACTCACTAAAGTGTCTCTTATGGAAGACAAGAATAGAAATCAATCCAATGTTTAATGAGCAGAGGATTGGATATGATACTGCATGCCAGCTCTTGTATATTATCATGACATGCTTACAACTGAAGCCAGGCATGGTAGCAGTCTCAGCAACTCAGGAGGCTGAGGCAGGAGGAAAAAGGCTTTAGCCCAGGAGTTTGAGACCAGTTCAGGCAAGAAAAGTGACACCCCGTCTCAATGTTTGGAGGTTTTTTTGGGGGGGGGGTACCGGAGACTGAACTCGGGTCCTTGCGCTTGCACGGCAGGGCACACCCCCTGAGTTTTTCTCGGGTCCTTGCGCTTGCAAGGCAGGCCACCGAACCGCTGAGCTAAATCCCCAGCCCCCAGAGACCCCGTCTCAAAAACAAAACAAAACACAATAACAAATAGAAAGATGATCTACACAGAGATGATATTTGAGCTTTTTAAAATGATTTCCTTCCATTATCCTTATTCTACTGTTTACATATTTTAAAATACAGGAATGGGATATTTTATTCAGATTGCAGGCATACAGGATAAAATATTACTCACTCTAACTGAAGCCAGTATTTTTCCCCCTTGGTACTGGGGACTGAACTTGGGGGCTTACATATACTAAGCAAGTGCTCTACCACTGAGCTACAGCCCGAACCCTGTATGTAAAAACAACCAACCAATTAATAAATTTACAATTAATAAATATACAAAAAAGAAAAAAAATCCCTCAAACCATGGAATTGTAAGGCCATGGGACCTTATAATGTTAAGGGGTACAATTAGTACAACTATAGTTAT